GGAACTCTTTCCATTAAAAGATTTAGAAGAGCTAGAAAAATTAGAACAACTATTAAGTGATAATAAGATTAATCGTAAAGCATTAGTACGTATATTTTGGAAAATCTTTTTAAAATTTAATAAGTTAAAAAACTTAAAGTTATCTTATTAATTTATCTTTCTAATTTAATTTATATTTATAATTTATTTATTTATTTATAAAGAAATAAAAGTGATGATATGATTTTATTATCTTTTTAGATTACGCAAGTGGCACGAATAGGCGGAACCAATGTTAGATCAATAACATTTAATATCTTACNAAGACTACTGAGTGATTCAGTCGGAAGTTTGTTCAGTTACATTGATGGAAAAAAAAAACGTTCATTTTTTNATTTATATCTACGAAAAATTATATTTAGTAAGCAAAATTTCTATTTATTTATAATATTTAAACTACTAAAATACTTAAAATATTTTTATATATGTAACACATTTGCTAACAATTCAATTATTTTTGTATATTATTTTAAGTANTTATTATTTTCAATTTTACTTAGTTACGTTGATTTACATTTTTCTATATAGGTGCTGTACGAATGTATTTCCCTGAGGCTACTGAACAGAATATTTCAGAACCAATTAAATCTTGGCTAAGACATGCAAGTGAACGTAGTATGAAAAAAAAAGAAGTATGTTACTTTTTCAGTTTTTTTTAATAATTGAGTGACAGATAGGCCAATGAGAGCATAAAACACTGATGGTGGCATGTTGCGAAAATTATGAATTTATTNTTACAATGTAAACGTTTCGATCTTTAGATAAGTCATTTCCAATACAAATATAGAAATACATATAACAGTCAAAGTTGAAGTGGTCAATTCTATTCTAGGCAAAATCGTGAAAACATGTCAACTCTAAGCNATTGTTAAGTTGACATGTCAACGATCCTGTCTTTCAAAGAAAACAGAATTATTAGTTTTATGCTCTTATTGGCTTAATCTCATTACTCAATTTCAAATTTTGATGCATTTATGTTTTCATTTTATTTTTAATAAGTTTTATTACAGTATAATAATATAATATAATATTAGTTTTTAAAATTCTAAATTTTGTTAAAAGTTTTGTGTGAGAAAACCACTACATTTTATTTATTTTATTTTAATTTTGACATTATGTTAAGCTTAAGTAAAATAGATAAATCTGTGATAAAAACTGACATTTAATCTTTAAAATAACGCGAACAAACATTTATTATAAATAGTTTGTAGAAAGAAGGATACATATACGATGTACATTTAATTTTTATGAACATTTATGTAAAAAATTTGCTAAAAATTTTGTTATTACATTTTTTGCAGCATGGATAAGACAGCAGATATCACTTCCGCACAAGAAAATGACCGAGCAAAAGAAATGATCTACCAAACTTTAAATGAATGAATTGGTCCGAATATTTATAATAATAATATTTTTTAATATTTATAATAATATTTTTTTATGTGTACAGTTGTTTATTTCTATATATTCTATATATTCTATATTCGTTCTANTAAGATAATCACAATTAATAAGTAATATCAGTTGTTTAGTTTTATAAAACAGGATCACTTGTTTAGTTTGATAAAAAATGGTTTATTTGAAATGTTTATAATATATAAAATTTATGTTTTCTTAAAAAGAGATACGATGAAAAAGAGATATAAAATTGTAATGCAGGATTCATATTGCGTTTGATTTTCGGTGTTTGACATACGATAATAAGAGTTTTTTTTATATAATACAAATCAAGTTCAGTATGATTCTTCCATAATATTCAAGTTGACAACGGGAGAAAGCAATAAAAATTTAGCTAGCGTAAAGAAAAGACTTGCTTTAAGATAAAGTTTTTATATATAGAATTNATTAACTTAAAAAATAAATTGTTCTATAAACTGTTACATTTAATATTTTATATTCTATATCTTACATACAGTTATTACGTTATAAAAAATGTTTNTTTTAGTTAAAATTGTCATGTTTTATGAATTTTTAGTTTATTTAAAAAATTGTATTTCTAAGTATTTAAATAATTTTTATATATACTAGAAATATATTTTTTATTACCTAGATTTTTATGTAACATATGTGCAATACTAAAATTAAAATCAATAAAACAAACTCTGTATACATGTATATGTATAAATCTAAATTTATTCTTAAAATATCCTATAAAGATCCTTAATAACATATTCTGGATGCATTATAAACGTTTAAAGAAATGTCTTGCGGATATCTTGTGAACATCCGTTGGATCTTGAAATAGAATATCCTGGGGATATTTCTAAGTATAGCATGAGGCGCTCATTCGCTAATCCTCAAGACATCCACAATAGATTTCGGGATTAAAACAGAATGTTCACAGGATATCCCGTTCTTCATATGGGATGTTCTCTCGATGTCCAGAGGACGTCCATGTGCTATCTGG